CTATCAATCATCTATCATCTATCTGTTTACAAGTCTATCTGATATGTCTAGCCTACTTATTCTTGTACTCAGTCATAATCATCTAGTCGAGTCCAACTCATAGCGACCCTATAGGAGAGAGTAGAACTGCTCTGGGGATTTTCGAGTCTACAAATCTCTAAGGAAATAGAAAGCCTTGTCTCTCTTCTGTGGCCAGTCATTTCAAACTGCTGACTTTGTTGATAAATAGAAAGAAATAGCCCCTCACTGAAAATTACCCTTTCTTAGACATTCAGGAGAAAAACGAAGCAACAAAAAACCTCAGGAAGGTTGAAATGTTTCTCAAACAAGTCTTTCTTAAATAAAGCTAGATAATACCGAGCTACTTTCTCAGTAAGTCATATCAGTGAGTGTTTGATTGACTCAATAGAGAGAGTCCTGTTATGTACATAAGGGGTTTAAAATATGTCAACGGAATTAGTCTTGGTTCTCAGCACAATTACCTTTAAAGTTGGGTCTGATTCTCGCATCATATCCTGATGTCCTCCCCATTAGTTTATCCAGAAAATCAGATGGTGACATCGGAGTACTTCGAGATCTTGCACTATCAGTTTCCTTTGTAACAACCAAACTACAAAGGAGAAAAAAATAAAAAGATTTTAAAAATATTTCTATTGTATTCATAAAAGACAGAAATGATAAGCAAATATGCCTTCAAAACCAAAGTTCTATATATCATCCAGTGAGTAAGATAAGATATTCTGTAGATTTGTAGTCAGACTTTATAAAATTTCATAAGTATTCAGTCCATTTGTCAGAAGTAAAAATATTTTATATTAAATCTGGAAATAAACATCATTTCTATATTATTAGGTTAGTCGATTGTGTGTGCAATTTTTCAAAATATTTTTATCCTTGCCTAAACTTCATTTCTAGTTTCAATTTTAACTAAAACATGTAAGCGCTTTAGGTATACAGAAATGAAAGGTCAGTGTGAAATATGATTCATGCTCCTTTCATGTTTTGAAAATTGTCTCACAATTACAAAGTGCCATGATAAACTGGCATAAATGTCAAATACAGTAAGCATAACATTATTATCCTAAATATAAATTCTCAAATAACATTAATTTTCAAATATTCTCATATAACAATGTTCTTTTTTCAAACAAAAGTGGCTTCTTCATCAGTTTAATTCATCCTGTTTCCAGTGATGTGTCATTAGTCTAGAGCATTTTCCTCGGATCTGCAGTTTGTGTGTCAGGATTGAAATATTGCTCTAAAGATGGCTCGTGCACCGGTGTATTTTATGACAACATCCTATGTCCAGGAAAGATAAGGATTTACTTTTTTCATTTTGTTTTTCATTTTCTACAGCTGCTCATCCTAAAAGCTCATAAGGGTGACTGATAGAAGGCACAGAAGACTTGTGCCTTTCTGCCAAGATCAAATTATTCTTTTCTCCACAGAGCTTCCAATTACCTATCGTTTGGGGAACTGATATGTTCAAACCAAAGTTACCTTCCAGAAGCCTTTGGGTCATTACATCCTCCTGGCTCTGCCATTCAACTCAGAACTGAGAGAACCTGAGCCTTCTTTTGGTCACACCATGGGAACAAGAGAGTTATTAAAGCTCTCCTGGCTTGTTCCTGATGCAATGTTGAGTAATGAGAACATGCCTTAAAACCACCACCGTTGAGTTGTCTACCATACTCATTTATGTAGTGAAACTAAACTCTCAAATCCCATCTCAGTGGTGACATGAGGGTACTTTTTGCTGCAACCAGGGTGAGGCCAGCAGCAGCCCCTATTAGACCGAATCATCTTCCAGAGGTCCTGCTGGGTTGAGGGCGTGCTGGGTCACTTCTCTGGACAGTGATTCTCACTCTCTCTCGTGCTCCTTCCTGAAAAAAGAAGCCCCTTTTCTATTTGTTCCACAACCATCACTGGGTCTCTTGTGATTTGTTTCTTTCTGATTATTATTTGATTGAATTATCTTCCATGATAGCCTATTGAAACTAGAATGCTTTTTCTAATGAAAAATGAAAATAAAAAGATCTCAATGACCCCACAGAACCTTCCCTTTACCATCATGTATTCAGTATAGTTTGCTCTCCTTTTAAGCATCGCGACTTTAGTTTCCGTGGCGGAAGAACAGAGGTCATAAAGGCAGGGTTGGATTCCTCATAGCACCTATTACTCCTTCTAAACCAGCCCCTGAAAATTATCCTTTAAGACATCTCAAAATAAACTTCTCAATTTTCCTAACAAAAATATACCAATTTACCTAGATATGAACTAACCATACACTTCAGTTACCTTCCTGGTTTGTTTTGTTTCAATAACACAGGACAAGGTAAACTGAACAGCTCACTACTCAGACGGTGGGCCCATCCCATCCACCACATACCCAAGCACATCACTGCTATGTTAATTTCCCCTCTGCTTGATTAGATCCATAAATAAGCAAATATAGAAAAGACATCATTCAATTTGATTAAAAACATCACACCCAGCGATCATACTGTTTCCCTAGTCAATTACCTTAAAACAATGGTTTGTATTTACAATCTTCAATTTTCCTCGTCTCATTCTTTTATACATCCGGTCCCTTCTACTGCATTTGTTCCAGGAAACATCATCAATAATCGCTGGGCCCAGCATTTGCCACGGTGGTTTAATTCCTTCACATACTTCATGTGATGTACTTTACAGAGCTGTCTGGATCCCTCTCCTACTTCACATCCATTCATTTAAATCTCTTTTTATCTCTTCATTTTTTTTGGTGGGGGGCTGGATTTAAAATGTGGGGAAAGGAGTCCAGGTTCAAACATTGGGCTGCAAATCACAAGGTGGATCATTCATGTCCACCTGTTGCTCTAAGGGAGAACAATTCGCGTATCTGTGCCTGGAAAGATTGACAGTGTCAAAAACCCTAGGGAACAGCTCTGCTCTGTCCTATTGGATTTCTGAGAGTCAGAATCCACTCAATGGCAGTGGGTTTGCGGTTGGGTGTGTTTAAATGGGAGCATATCCTAAACCCAATCCTAGGAGTTCCTCTCTGCTCTATCTCACTCATTTTTTTATGGAATTTCTATCTATAATAACTAAATGTTAATGACATCCCAATTTTTCTCATGACGCTAACCTTGTGCTCAAACATACTCAATTATCAACTCAATTTTTAACCTGACATCTATCTAGCAAGTAGCTGAAACTTGCGATGTGCTACTCAGGTGTGCTAATCATTAGTACTCAATTACTAATTATTCTAGAAATCATAAATAACCTTTTTGAATAAATAAGAAAATGAACATTGCTTTTGTTTTGGTAGCACAGTTTTGTTTTCAAAAACTTTTGCTATAAATAGAAAACATTGGAGAGATTCTCAGTGAGTTTTGGGATAAAAATAATGTTTTATTATTGTTTCTAAAACTTTTTTTTATTTGTCTTGATATAAACAGGCTATTATAATAATGAGATTTCCCTCCCCCCCTGAAATTTCATCTGATATAGATCCAAAAGCTTATCTGAAATATCATATAGGCACCTTGATTCAACAAAAATAAGAATATGAAAAATGCCATATTAAAGAAGACAATAATGAGTAAAGGTATATTCAGCAAAAGGCATATTTTACAATAGCTAATGATACATATCAAGCATCATGTCAGGAAGGAGAAAGGAATATATAGCCAACAAATGGTTGAACTGGTTTCTACCAAAATCACGTATTTTAACTGATGATATACTTTCATTTCCTACATGATTACTAACTAAAATAAAGTGAAAGAGGTAAAGCACAGCCCTTATTATCACTGTTCTACACGAGTGTGGAAGATAACACTGGTACTTTAGTATTGGCAAATCTTCTCACACCATTAGTTTAATAAGGTTATCTACTGTCTCTAAAAGCAGTTGTATACAAGATATTAAATATAATAAATTATATATAACAACTATGTTATACATAACTATTTATGATACATTTAATATATAATACGTGTTCTATGTAGCCAATTTTAGAGAAAGTAGATAATATCATGTTATTATACATTTAATAATCAAAGATCAAATGATTTTGTGTGCAGAGGCCTGGTAATCATTTTTCCATAAAGCTGTTACAGCCTTGAAAACAAAGCGAGCATGTACTCGGTTCGTGGCGCGGCGATGAATTGGATTTGAGTCACCAACATCTGACCCCAGCAGCACCTCACAGAAGTATAGTCATTCGGAGAGCTGCTTCTAAGAAATATGTTTATGAGGTTCCATTCTACTGTTGAATCTTACTCCACTTTTCAAGCAGTGAGCACCAATTGTACAGGCCTATTTAACACCTGTTTTGTAAATATGTTAAAATTCTAGAGGTGAGAGGAGGCAGTGTAGGATGGGGGAAACCGAGATGAATTTAGAATTGTGAGTGTGAAAATCTATTATTCTGGTGTGTTTTTTTCCTTAAACCTCTGAGTATTAATAAAATTTTCATAATTCTGATAAATGAGTAAGGATGTTAAAAGTTACTCTCCGTCATGGAAAAGCTTTAGAGTTGTTGTAACAGTTTATTTCAAAATATCATCAAAATCTGTGTTAATTGGCTGTCTTCCTATACTTGGCCCTTTTTCATATCCTCCTTCTGTGTGCCAAGTAATTTACTATTAACTCTTTGGAAAACAATATGTAGCCTTATATACATATTAAGTGAAAAGAACATCAATGAATGTTCTTTTCACTTAATGTTTTTTGTGTTTTCTTATTTGTCCTGATTAGAATATTAAAAAATACTTCATTTTGCCTTTGTAAAAAAGAAAATTGGAAGAAACCTATTTATGTTAGCACTGAAACCAAGTATTAAAATGTATCAAAAATATTCAACAAGACTTTAGGGGAAGTTAAAATTGTGTTTCTGGGGTAAACAAAGGACTGACAGACTGGTTTGAGATCCCAAAGAATTACAACTTTAAAATAAAATGAACTGCAAATACAGAAATATAACCAAAAAGTGAACAATGTCTGGAATT